CAGGCTGCCCAGGGAAGTGGTTGAGTCACCATCCCTGGAGGTATTGAAAAGACGTGTAGATGAGGTGCTTAGGGACATGGTTTAGTGGGCATGGTGGTGTTGGGTTGATGGTTGGACTCGATGATCTTAGAGGTCTCTTCCAACCTTAATGATTCTATGATTCTATGATTCTACAGAAACATAAGCTGTATGCCTGAAAAAATACCTATCCAAACTGATCAGTGAAAGCAGAGAAAAAACCCACAGTGACAAAATCTGTATTCAAATCCAGCAAAGGATATCCAAGTCATTGCAAGGGAAAAAAAAATCCCATAGGTTATAGTGAAAAATGGGAGCCTCGCAATGTGATTTTTTCCTTTGCCACCTGAGGCATCATGAATAGGAATTCAAGGTCAGGGCACACCTATTGCAGTGTCTATTATCAGAGTCACAAGGTTCTGTGTGGGCAAAACGAAGGGTGATGGCTGGAGCATGTGAATTGAGTCAAAGAGGGAACATGCTTACGTGGTGATACAGTTTCTTCCCGAAAGTCTCTCTCTGTGCTGCCTGCTGGCACATTATCTGTAAAGCCGTTTCAGCCACACCAAGGGACCTCATGCAGTGATGAAGCTGACCTTGAGCTATCTCAAACCCCCTTCCCTCACCTGGTTGGAAAGAAAAACAGGCACATGCAGACTCCGATTCCCGCTTGAAAGGATCCATGGCTCCGAGCAGAAGTGGCCTCATAGCACCAGAGCTAGAAGCAAGATTCTTAAAAGTTTATTTTGCAGAACTGTTGTGCTTGTTTACTCCAACTAGATCTATATTGATACATTGTTAATAATACAGCACAAAGTACACTCTAAGATGGTTTCTGAGGGGTTGATTTACCTGATTGCCATCCTTTAACCCCAGTCGGCAACCAAGCACCACACAGCCGCTCACTCACCCTCCCCACCCCCCATGGGATGGGGAAGAGAATCGAAAGAGCAAAAGTAGGAAAAGTTGTGGGTTGAGATAAAGACAGTTTAATAATTTAAATAAAATAATAATTATGATAATAATGATAATAATTTTAAAGACATTGTAATGAAAAGGAAAACAACAAGAGAGAGAGGAACAAAACTCCAGAAAAACAAGTGATGCAACCACTCACCACCCACCGACCGATGCCCAGCCAGTCCCCGAGCAGCGATGCTGCCCTCTGGCCAACTCCCCCCAGTTTATATACTGAGCATGACGTCACATGGTATGGAATGTCCCTTTGGCCAGTTTGGGCCAGCTGCCCTGGCTGTGCCCCCTCCCAGCTTCTGGCTGGCAGGGCATGAGGAGCTGAAAAGTCCTTGCCTGGTGTAAGCACTGCTTAGCAACAACTAAAACATCGGTGTGTTATCAACATTGTTCTC